TGTATCTTATTTATGTATCACTCGGCTGTAGATCCTCAAATCATCTCTGAATTGGTGCTGACACTGTCCTTCCTTATGGAGGGTGGCTACTTTTTTTCCCCATGGTCCCTGTTTGTGTTGTAAAGTAGCCACCGCTCCAAGCTTGGTAGTGATGGACTACAATCTTAATGCAAGTGAGTAAACTAAACATAAGATTGTAGTCCATTACGGGAGTGAGCTTGAAGCAGTAACTACTTTACAACACACACAGGGACCATGGGGAACAAAAGTAGCCGCCCTCCAAAAGGAAGGACAGTGTTAGCACCAATTCAGAGATGATTTGAGGATCTACAGCCGAGAGAAACACAAATAAGATAAATTTTTGTTAATAATAAAGGTACTTTAATGCACTTTTAAGATTTAACTCCTGAGTTTAGCGTCACTTTAAGTGAAGATTTCTTACTTAAAACTCAACTGAACTTGAAAGCAGCTAAATATATATCACGTTTATCAAAACAAAAAGTGTAGAAAGTCATACAGTTTGTTTTCATTAAGAAGAAGCCACAGCCTGAGTAGAAAAGCATATCTCCTGCCAGCATGCCAGCTATAGAGAGGGGTCCATGCTTTTTGTGTGGAAGCAGTGGTCTATCTGCAGAGGTCTGACACACTCCTGTTGAGTCAGACCTATAGCTCTACAATCAACAAGGCTCATGCTCGTTGCTGATTGGAATACTACAATAGCAAACTCTCCCCCCTCTCAGGGATAGTGGGTATTTTTGGCGAGGTTGTAGTAGTTCTGGGTAAGGCACAGGTGTCCAGAACAACTTGTCCCTTACAGAGTAACTTCAATTTCAAGCAGAAAGTGGAAAAAAACATTATCCAAATCATCCTTACCATCTTGTCTTGAATTGTATTGTGACTGTAATGTGTTCCTTATATTGTGAAGCGCTGCACAAACTGTTGGCGCTATATAAATCCTGAATACTAATAATAATACTCAGAAGAATTTCTGCCTATGAACACTAAGGCTGTGCAGCATCGCTAAAACATTTGATCAATATGGGTTTCTGAGCAGGATTATCGTCTCTGTCAGGAGAATAAAACTGTCCCAGGAAAATGTTTCTGTGCGCAAAGGTTTTTTTTAATTAATCAGCTTTTTTAAGTGCTAAATGGTAATGATCAGCAACTAGAGCAGAAATCTGTGAACTGCTGGGATTGACAACTTGCCATTTCAATCTATTTTTGTGCTCTGGTGTGTCCTTGATGATATGCGAGGTGAATGGAAACAAGGAATCACTATTCCACTGTAGCCCTGATCTGCTATTTCTAGGTTCAGAGTATTGAAGAAGAACATTTGTACCTCTAGTTCTATTATGAAGACATTTCATAGTTGTAAATAGCCGGCTGACCTGAGATCATGAATGCATTTCCTCTTTTATTGTTTGGTTTACAATGTCTATTACTGAAGCGAGGAATCGTGGCCGGGAGTCTAAAAGCTGAGTAACAGCATGTGAAAGATGATGGATCTATTTTCCTAGAAAAAAAAAAATTCTCAATGTACTATTATCATACTTTAGTGCTTCCTTTGGATGCGCAAGGTTGAATTGTGGAGGAATAGCTTTTGAAATTGCAATTGTACATAACTGGCTTTTGACAATTAACATGAACTAAAACGTAAAAGTGCTCAAGTGCAAACACATGCTTTCAAATGAATTATTGCATCCGTGTGGATCCAAGACGAAAACTGTATATGCCATTTACTTTTGTCCAAGTTGAGGTCAAAGTGAACCTCTTTCTGCCTATGCAAAGTGCGTTAAAGTATATACGTATCTTTCTTTTGCTCTCTGGCTGCTCTATAAGATTTGAGTTGCTTACATAGGACAGAGGTCTCTCTTCTCACAGAAGCATATTACTTGTTCCCCCATACCCAGAATATCTGGGTATTTTCTTTGCTCCAGGCAGGTGACTTCTTCACTTTCCTACAGGAATGAAGTCCTGATTCCAACCTTCTCCAAATTTGCCCACCGCTGCGTTATTAAAGTGACACTAAACTTGGGAGTTAAATCTTAAAAATGCATTCAAGTACCTTTAAGTGACATTACACACTCAGATTTTGTAACATAAAACAATACTGTAATGTGTGCCTTACTGTAATCCATGGTTGTTTCCCGTCTCTTTGCTGCTCTTCCTTTTAAATCTGTATCTGTTCTCATGCTGGGCAGAACTTCTGTTTTGCTGCAGACTGCCTTGTCTCTGGAATGGATACATGGTATCTGTGTGCAGGTTCACAACCTGAGCCAGCACTACAGGAAGAGGCACTCGGCTGCAAAGGGAAGTTCTCCCCCAGCATGAGAAGAGATAAGGATTTAAAAGAGTGATACACAAATAAGATACATTTTTGTTAATTGAATGTATTTTTAAGGTTTAACTCCTGAGTTTAGTGTCACTTTAAGGTTGTGGTTTATGTTTCTTTTGGTACTTTGCTTCCCTCTGATTCAGGCCCCCCAGACCCCTCACATGGGTACCGGCCATACCCCCTGATGGCGATGTTCTATCAAAGGTTGTGACTACGTTAGAATGTCTGACCAGTGACATGGTCACACGTTTTAACGTAATCCCGTCTAGTTTTTCGGCGGTGGAATGTGTGACCGCCAATAGGTGAAGCATTCCAGCGCTTTCCCAGCTGTTCCAGGGCAGATCAGCATCGCAAATCGCATGTGCAGGAGAACCGATCTGCCCTAAAACAGCTGATCGGTCCTGAAATGTCACTTCTCTCCAACTGCGATCTCACATTCCAACGCACTCACAAAGTCGGATAGAAGTGACATTTCAGGACCGATCAGCTGTTTTGGGGCAGATCAGTTCTCCTGCATATGGAATTTTTGGAATTCTTCACCTATTCCACCGCCGAAAAACTGGGCGAGATTACGTTAAAATGTGTGACCACGTCACTGGTCACACAGCCAGGGAGTTTCGATGTGAGCACTGCAGGGGGCTGGGCTTGTGACACACACACACGCCTCCTGTGACTCACCTCCCCTCCCGCTGCCTGTTACTATGGATGTGGCCGGGAGGTGAGTCACAGCACCCGCCCCCTCACTGAGAAGCTCGTCGGCAGTGCGGGCCCCGATGTTCGAACACCGGGACCGTGCACTGCCAAAAAAATCAAGACCGGACCCCACTGAGGCTGTGGGGGAGCCTAGGACCGGACCCCTCTAGGCCCCTACAGCCACAGGCCCCGGTGCCCCGGCGGTAGTTCCGCCGCTGGACATAACATTACTGTTTTCATATATTCAGCCTTGTTGAGGCACGCTAATTTCATCTGGAGAATATTAAAGTTATGTTTAGGTGTATATATATACTGTATGTAACTTTTTTTTAATCTTTCTGTTGTAGCTAATAAGCACAAGTACAAGAAATTAGATGATAGGCTCAATCCACTAGCCCATAACATGTTATTTGCAATAACAATTGTTATTTTCGACCACAGGAACTGTTATTTTCAGCATTTTGTTACTCTCTTTGCAGGAAATAATGGTCATTATGGCAATTATGATCATTAAAGTTTGGTGAATTGAGCCTAATGTCTTCTGGATTATCTGCATCTAGCGGTTCCTTGTAGCGGTGGTTTCACGGTTATGACTGGATATTAAGAGTCTATAGCAGTGGTGGCGAACCTTGGCACTCCAGCTGTTTTGGAACTACAAGTCCCATGAGGCATTGCAAGTCTCTGACAGCCACAGACATAACTCCCAGCGGCAGATACATGTTGGGATTTGTAGTTTTGGCACAGCTGGAGTGCCAAGGTTCGCCACCACTGGTCTATACGCTCACTTCATTAAGCTATAGTCATCGTTATTTTCTATAATGGCTGAAATTAAGTCACATAACTGAAAATAGCAATCATTATGGCAAATACCACTTGGTCATAATTTAGGGAATTATGTGGGAGTCGTATGTGCACATTTCCCAACAATTGCAGATTAAGCAATAATGCAGTGGAAATATATGCTTCTCTATTTATTAATGAGCAAAACTAAAAATAATCCCCAGTATTTACTTTAAGATCATAAAGTCTTTAAAACAGTATAAGCCGACCATAAACGGTTTGTTTGAGTTCCAGTATTTGGCTCAGCATGAGTTTTTTTTTAATATTTGCTCTTGCTGGGGGTCACTGCACAGCTCCCAGTTAACACTCAGCCAAGACACCTGTTCACAATAAATGTAGTTGGTAAGTTCATTAAGGGTTTAGGATATTGATTTAGGATATTGAATGCCAACTCTCTCAAATGTGATACTACTTTTGACTTGAAATGGAAAAAAAAGGGCCTATGTCGAAGGACTTTTGTTAACATCTGATGGGTGTTGCATTGCCAGGAAGTCTATGCAAAAAATACTTGAAGCAAGTGAGATGCAGGACAGAAAGAGGTCAACTGCAGGTAAAATGCACCTGTTAATGAATTACAAATGATCTCGGAAGAATCTTACACTGATGTCAAACTGAAGCCATCGACGCAAACCCTAAAGGTGCACATAGGGGTGCCTACACTTAACTGCAGCAACTTTAATTGCTCCCTGTAAGCTTGAATGCCAGGCTATTTTGAACCACCAAAGCTCCAGAACCTCCCAGTAGAGATAGAGCTTTGGCTGCCCCTTCCATCTCTGTCATTCCTAGGGGCTAATGAAGCAGCTCATCATAGTAATTGGCCAATAGGAATGTGGAGGGAAGCATTGTGCAGAAGGAATTTGCCAGACCTGCCTGACATTCAGGAGTAAAGGGAACAATTAAAGCTGCTACAGAGTTAAGTCAGAACCCCTGTTTGTAAGCTTGTTTTCGATCATTTACTCAGAAAGCTCTGAAGTCACTGGGCAGCCAAGGAACCAGCATTTTCAGAAAGCGTTAACAATGGCAGCCCACCTCTGTCCTAGCATATCATATATTTTACAACAAGTAACCACAAGATATTATGTTACACAAAAGATAAGACTAGTTCACCAGCCAGAGAAAGCAAATGTCTTTCAGATGTATTAACTGGGATGCCGGCAGACTCAAGTTCATTTGACGGTGTTTAATTAAGGATGTAGCTCGTGATGGCACTTCTGCATGGCTGTTAAACAAAAGCTCCTAGGAACGGTCTCACAAATAGCTATACCCAGGCCTTCACATGATTATTCCATTCCCTGACACAGCTACATATACCCCCCTCGTCATACCACCTCCATCGCACCCCTTTGTAGAGAGCTCGTGTGTAAGGCTGAAAGAGCATGAAGAGACGTAAGCGACGTGCCAGACCACAGTAGACTGCCATTGCCAGGACAATGAGAGGGGACATCATGACGAAACCCAGGATTATGAGAGCGGAGGAGCTGTTGTCGTCTAGAAGGGTTTTGCAGTACGAGGCATCTGAGTGAAGAACCTGTGGAACAAGCACATACATTATCTAATTAGAACCATCGAATCTGTAGATACCAACTGTTGGAAATGGAGTTTACAGTGGCCTTCACTAAAAGTATGGTTGCCCTTAAAAGCCGAATTTAAGTCTTGTTTTTGTGCAATGGAGTCAGCCTGCTTATGGAAACAAATATAGAATGTTTTATTTTTTATTGTGTGTGGCTTTTAGGGCTGTGGAAATTAAAGATTAATTTCTCGATTAATCGTTAAACTTTTTGATAGATTAAAATAATTTTGATCGCTAATGAAAACACTCACCTCTTCGCCGGCTTCCGGGAGTCCCGTCGGCGATTCGGTGACGTCACGGACATCGACGTCACCGGACTCCTCCCCCCTTCCCCAGGTGGCTCCGTCCACTAACAAAGGGAAGGGGGGAGGAGTCCGGTGACATCGATGTCCGTGACGGCTAACGAAGGGAAGGGGGAGTAGTCCGGTGACGTCGATGTCCGTGACGTCACCGGACTCCTCCACCCTTTGTTAGCCGACGGAGCCACTTGGGCAAGTGAATTTGCCCAAGAAACTTTCTGCACGAGTGCCAGCCAAGACATTGGCCTATACACATACAGCACAGCAACGAAGTAATAAAATGAACTAGGATCACACTAATCCAGCACGTTATTATTCTGAGTTGCCCCACTCAAACGGCGGCCATATTGAGTGGGGCACGTGAGATTAATAACGTGCTGGATTAGTGTGATCCTAGTTCATTTTATTACTTCATTGCTGTGCTGTATGTGTATAGGCCAATGTCGTTGGATCTGTATGTGCGTTATAATTAATCGAAATTAATAGATTACATTTTTTTTGATTAATCGAACACGAAAATTTTAATCATTACCAGCCCTAGTGGTTTTAGAACTGTAAGAGCTTCCCTGTATCTATAGCACACTGGAGAGCTGCTAAGCAGCATTATTGACTGGTCTGAAGCACTATTCTGAGGGCAGCGGTCTGGCTGTCCAGTGTGCTGCCAGCACAGAGCAGCTTCTTACAGCTCTAACAGCCCACAATTAACCAACAAATGTAATATTCTTTACTTGTTATGCAGCCTGACTCCATAACAAGTAGAAAAAACAAGACTGCAGTTGGACTTTAAAAAATGTCTAAACTCAAGAACAGCAAAATATATGGCAAACGCACTCATCAATTTGTTACCAGTTTTACAGCACGGTGCACATGGAAGGGCTTTAAATAGTAACAAACAAAAAGTTTCCCAGCACACTCACCAGCCAGCATGCAAAAAAACTGCTAAGGTTAAAAACAGAGGTTTAGATACACGTCTTCTACAGAAAATGTGAAAGCTGCACAGCCGCACCAAGGCACCTCTTATAGTGCGGTCCTAACTCTAAACTATGAGAGTCTCCATCTTGGAGCACATGTGGTAAAAGATAAAATTGGGTGCAGGTTTGTCAGGAGGAAGCCCAACCTCCCTTCTTTTCTGCAGAAGATCTGTATCTAAACCTCTGTTTTTAACCTTAGCTGTGAGACAAGTTTTTTTGCATGCTGGCTGGTAAGTGTGCTGGGAAACTTTTTTTTTCAAACTCAAGAACAAACATTTTATGTATTGCAGCTTACCAGCTCTTAGATGTGGTGGCTGAATTTATTTACTTTTTTAATGGATCTATTTTTTTAAAATTTTCACCCACTTCCTGTCCTATGTAGCTATAGAGGAAGCAGCGTTGCCACCCTGGGCAAGTAGTTTGTAGTTTACTGAATAAAGCTTTGAAGAAAGATTACAATGCTTGAGATTTCATCTCAATTAATAGGAAGTGACAAGGACACTATATATATTTTTCAGGCCAAAAATGAAATGTCCTTGGCCTGAAAAAAGGAAACCAAGGTAGCCATCACATCTAAGGCCTATTAGGCTGCAAAATATTAAATTCTTGTTCTTAGGTTTAGATACCCTTTAAGGTAAATTGAGTGGATTATCTTATTTTAGCAGTGTAGTTAGTAGCTCACCCAAGTAGCCATTATTGGAGATCAAATAACAAAGTTCAAAGTAGTGTGATGGCACCTTTGTTTGCTTTGACCTTTGATGAAACTATAGGCCACCATTATTTCTAGTAGCAATACAAAAATAAATTCTGGGGCGGTGGAAGGGACCATTACCATTCCTAGCAATTATGTTCACCTAAGTGGTGTGTCTGTCACCTTGTTTTAGCCTTTATTAGGCTTCTCCCTCTTACTGTCTTATGCCCCCACTTTATAAACAATAGTTTGGCACGCTGCAAGATTTATTTCTACTGAGAAATCAAATACCAGATATTTTATTTCTTTGTGTTGTTTGCGAACAATAAAAAAAATTCCCAGTCATTAAAGTGATAATAATCTGTCACCGTGGAACAGGCAGTCTGAGAATAGCTTGTTTGTGGTAGTTCAAAAGAGGTGACCTTTGAAAAGCACTTAGTGGCTTAGATATTAAACCTTTGCTGGATGTGTAATTTCTCGCATGGCTGCCTGCAAAACTTGTTTAGCTATTGCCTCCCCTATGCCTCTGAGTCAGCACTCCCATCTGCTGACCTTGGGAGATTACCTGAACAAGTGCTACTACTGTACCTAGACTCATCTATGCCACACCACAATTCAGAGTTCATTAAAACTTCATCTGGTTCAAAGAATGTCTATATCTTACCCAATGTGTAGTTATCGAATGTAAGATCTCCACAGTGGTTTTGTTATTTTCTTGTAAAACCTTGTTCAGTAAAAAAGATTGAATTTAAAACCTCATCTGGTTGCAAATTTAGTGTGTGGTCTAAAAACCGGTGAGAACAGTAGAGTGCCATTCAGCATTTTTATAGCAAATTAAATCTGGTAATTGAAGCAATGAGCAGTCAGACTATGGGTTTTATAAACTATTAAAAGTCACCTTCACAAGGCTAAAAGGATCTACATGATATTCAATTTCCCTGAATTCTGGGTGACATAATCGGCACGGTTCTCATTAACAGTGCTAACTAAATTGGAACTCCTGACAGGCAGCTAAAGAAAGTTTAACTACACATACATTTTACCTGTTAGAGGTGGCCTCCAGCCCCCAAAGCCTTGCTCCACAGATCTTTATAGGGCGGCCATGCCTGGTGCCACACAGACTTTGCACAAAAAAGTAACAACTGCTATGCATGTATATTGCTTGTCCTATTCAATCCTATGGCTGTGGCATGCTCACTACTTCCCCTATTTATTCCTTTGCCTGGGATTATACTCCTGTGGAAGCCTGGGGCCACCATGAGTGTGGTCCCAGTCATAGGAATGATTAAATTGAGCAGTATACATGTGCAATAAGGGAAGACCAAGCCGGGATTTGTTGTGCAAAGGCTCTGCTGAGCCACACAGTGAAAATCTATGGAGGGGAGGTAAAGGAAAGTGGTATGTAATTTAAGTGACACTGAGGTCGGGAATTAAATCTTAAAAATGTACTGAAGTACCTTAACTATTAACAAAAATATATCTTATTTGTGTATCAATCAGCTGAAGATCCTCAAATCATCTCTGAATTGGTGCTGACACAATCCTTCCTTCCGGAAGGTGGCCACTTTTGTTCCAAGAAAGGGGGTATATGTTCCCTGGAGCTCTGATATATCAAATGTATCCCTTTTTATAATTGCAACTGGTCATCAAAGTCATGTAACCAAAATTCATACGAACACAAAACAGTAACAGTGGTCCGAGAGAGGAGCACTGCGGGGGGCGGTTACTGAACAGACCGAGACCAATAATCTTATAAAAGTATAAACTTTATTTTGGACACAAAAAATGTCAAAGTACCGCACCAATAACACCGCTTCTCAATAGTTTCATAAAAGAACAACGTTGTTCATAGCACTCATGCATTCATGCATTCATCCTATGGGCCCCACACAATCTACGGCAATTAATATCTTTAAGGTTCAAAGGAGATAATACTCCCAATTCAACACCTGGTTCCTATCGATAGTTGTGCCCCTGCTTGGCGAAGATATCAGATCCAAGGAGATGGATATTGCACATCTACTTTAAGAATATAACTGTGATCAGTTCTTTCTGCAAGTAGTACATCCTAGGATATGGTGGATGCAATCTGTTTATCAGAGTGTTGAAGAGAGGAAGTCTCTATAACTAGTGTAATTTGAGATAATGGCAATCCACTAGGGGCATATATATATGCATCGGCCTCCGTAGATAAACACCTTTCGTTGATCTATTAGTTAGGGAATGTCAATCACATTATTTTTTGGGACTGTTCGAACTTTCCCAATAACAATCAATTCCTCCTGATGTTGGATTTTATTCAAGGGGGAGACCCGTGCGGGACCTATTCGTACATTTATGTTAATCTATGAACTTGTCTCCATGGTTATGTTAAATATAATGAAACAGTGTTCTTTAAAGAGCCGTGGCCCGCGGCAGGCGGAAGCAGCGCTCTTAAATACACTTGCTTTTCCCTGCAGCTACAAATCTGTAATGTCTCTTGATGCTGATATTCACTTTCATTTTTCTCAGTCGGGGGGGAATAATCTATCATCGCGAACATGAATATAAAAGTTAATTACTCCTCTAATCTGAAAAATGTTACAGCTGTCATTAATACATACTGTCAGTGGCACAACTAATGTTTCGCTCTCTAATATTATTTGAAGAGTACAGAGCACTTGATGGCCAAGAACCCGAGAGTAATTAAATTATAGCAGAAAGACAAAAAGAAAAAAGTTTGGACCAGTGAACCTTTTTTTTGTGATTAAGAAGCGTATTTCACATTTTTATTGCCACTACAGGTCAGGAATGATCGACCTTTCGGCAATACATTCCAGCCTCCGCTGGCATATTTGTGAGTTAGGCCAATCCAATCTGATGCACTCTCCTTTCAGGTGCCTGATTCCTTTATAAATGTAAAAAAATAAATGTAAATCATGGTCTGCACAAAAATATTTTCTAATTTATTTTTAACAAAGAGCAAATATTACAGATAAATGTTTAGAAAACAGCTAT